GATAGATACTGTGGGGCCAAAATGTGCAAATTAGCCCCTCAACTCCACTTCAGGTTAATAATCATTCTCTTAATTTTTTATTGATAAATTAGCCTCTCCAATTGTGAATCTAAGCAAATTAATCCTTATTTTACAGATGATATCAATTGATGTCATCAACCCATCTTTATATCGTCCCATTGGGCAATTACTACCTTGTTAGTTTGTTTTTTTTTTTACTGGCCGGGACATTTTTTCTTCCTTCCCTTCTTTTCAACACCATTTTTTTCTTCTTTTGTTAAAGGATAAATAGACCAATTTAGCTTTGCAAAAATAGCTTTGTGTCTAGGCAATTTAGCATTGTGTTTTTATATGTTGGAACAATTAGCATATTAAAGCATTAATTTTAAAATAATTAGCTTTATGTTTTTTTTTTTTTGTATGTTGGAACAATTAGAATTAAACTAGACAAGTGTGTTCATGGCAGTAATTAGATTTGCATTTTTTTGTATATTAAAAAAGTATATTAATGCTTGTAAATGCCAGTATAAGCCATTAGGAACAATAGGCTTAAGTTTTGTTGTGAAAATTAGCCAAATGTCAACACTATGCGAAGAAGTCCTGACACCCTCCCCTTAAATCGAAAACCTGAAGTCCATGTATGTTTTCTTGTGGGGGAAAAAGAAAGTGCCCAGGTAATATAAAAAATTAAAAAAATAAAAAATCGAAAAAGATAAAAAAGTTACAAAAAAATCAAAATGTCATGATGTTTAAGATATCTATCACAATGGTTAACTTCATAGGTTCTAATCAATAATTAACTTATTTGACAATTATTATAAACGCCTTGACATTCATATTTTCCAAGGAAAAAAGTGGTAATTGCCTAAATGGAGAACAATGGACTGATGATATCAGCTGACATCATCTATGAAATAAGGGCTAAAATGATTAGATCTATGACTAGAGACGCTAATTTGTCAGTAAAAAAAAGTTGAGTGAATAATCATTTAACTTAAAGTGGAGTAGAGGGACTAAATGGCATATTTTACCTATTGTGAGAGGAAGAGAAAAAATTTTCACCGACCAAACACTGCCTAACTGTATTTATAAAGTTTCTTCTGGTCTGCTCAAAATATCCAATAGGATATAAGTCGAGCAGGCGTATTTTAAGACATTAGCAGTCAGAGCTTAAGGAAGGCGTCATCCTCCTCATTCTGGTTCCTTTGATCCGAAGCGAAGCGAGTCGATTCCAATGATGGTAGAGCTATTCGTGTTGGGATGTACGGGAATTGTGGTGTTTCTCCACGGAGCTAACTTCTTCTTCCACGCTCTCTCTCAGCACTTCGCCTTCCGCGCTCTCAGGTGCTTCCATCGCTTTTTTGTTCTTAAACTCTTGATTCCTTTCTTGAATCGAATTTAGATTCTGATTAACTCATGATCCCGTACGATTGTCGACTGTAAGGATCAAAAGTTTGTCTCTGGAATGAGGATTGAATTTATTATTATTATTATTATCTTGAAATTTTGATGGTGTTTTGTTTTTTTTCCTTGATATTGGCAATTGGGGTTTTTCCCATTTTAGTCTCGGTAGTATGGTTTATTACATTTGATTCACAATCTGCAGCTTCGGAATTCAAGTGGGATCATTTTAGTTTTGAAATTTGTCAACTCTTAACGCAGATTTTTATACTGAATTTGTCTACAAGTTGGAAGAAAGCATTAATCTTTAGCATTAGCACTTAGGAATCAATCAACTTTATGTTCATGAAATTCCTTGAATTAAATCTGTGATTGTTATTTTTGCTTAAAATGTGACATTGTGTTGTGTTTTAATTTGCAGTTTCCTGGGATTTGTTGGGTGGTAAAGCAAGAGAAGGCATTAAAGATTACTGAATCTTCAAGCAAGTTCTAATGTAGAGTATGGCAAAGTCTAGATTTGCACGTTTTGAAGATAATTTATTTATTTATTTTTACTTGAATTAGAAGTAGTAGTAATAGCGATGTGATGGATTTGTATCCATAATTAATCCAATAAAATCTTGAGAAAGAAGGATGGGAGGCTGATTTCTTGAAACTCATAGCCATTACCATCATGTAAGATGTAAATTGTATTTTGATCAGATTAGAAATTGAATGGTATCAGTATCATGGATTAAGTTTCATTTTCCAGTACTGGGCTCTTAAAACTTTTTAGAATGTTGTTCAAGATCAGAATTGTCTGGTGGATCAAATCTTAAAAGTGGATGAAGTGACCTAGTGGGGCATAAAAATGATTTGGGCCATAAAAATGATTTGAGGCATATTAATGTTGTTGGAGATATTTCTTTCTTTGAGATGAAATTGATAGGTATATGGTCAAGTGGCTGGGTGGGTGGTTCTAGTTTGTTGAAAAAAGTTTGGTGAAAATCTTTATTAGATTCAAGAAATGTTATAGTTATAAATTTATAATGGCTCTTAGGATTGTTATCACACAATCATAAAATGATATTAAATAAATATATAATGTATTATTAAATAAGTAAATATATATAATATCATTGATAGACTCATAAGTAATATGAGTTAATTTTATAATAACATATTATATTGTAAGTATATAATATCACGTGACATTGTAACTCTATCATTTCATATTAAATTAGAACAACATGAAATGTTTTACCATAAAATAACAAAGGGAATGGAAAGCACTGCTGCTCCCAGCTATAATATTTACCATCGTGTTTGCTCAACCTACTTGTATTGTTAGTTGAATGCACAAGGTTTGCATGAGGTTGCTCTAGTTTTGAGGGTTATGCCCAATGAAATTGGAATTGCAATGAACCAATGAGTCTTTTTCAGTCCAAGTCTTCTCTTTAGATTAACATGCAAAGCCCCAAGATTGGTTCTAGAGATAGAAACTCCAATACCTAAATCAGTAATAATTTAGTCTACCTTAAGAGAGACGGTAAAAGAAGTTTTAGGTCGGTTTTGATTATTTTCGGGAGGTGATCCTTGGGAGCATTGTTGTCAAAATCTAGATTTAAATCTTAAAATCTTATGATATTATGATTTCAGCAAGACATTTCGTGTAAAATCTATATTAAAATCTAAAATTCATAAAATTTGGGGATTTGATTTTACCGTGAAATTAGGTGAAATCAGGTAAAATCTCAATTTTACCTTCTGTTTGGTAGCTGGACTTTTAACCTATTTCCTTTTGGGCTTCTCATCTTGGGTTAGTGAGTTTTGACTAGATAACCCATAAATTAAGCTCATTTTTCATTTTAAAAGCCCACAACCCACACAACCCAACCA